GGGGCCCCCAGAGTCAGGATCCATGTCTCCTCCATCAGACTGGGGGCTCCCAGAGTCAGGTTTCATGTCTCCTCCATCAGACTGGGGGCCCCCAGTGGGAGGGTTCATGTCTCTTCCATCAGACTGGGGGCCCCCAGAGTCAGGGACCAGGTCCCCGCCATTAGACTGGGTTTCCCAGACTCTGCTCCATCAGACTGTGTAGCCTGGGCTCTGAGGCAGGGCAGGGTTTCACCCACAGGCCCAGGCGCTCCCAGAAGCCATGGTTCTGTGTCATGAATAGTGTGTCCTCTCTCACACCTGACACTGCCAGGATCAGAAACCCCATCACCACCAGATACCCCCAGACACTCCTCGGTTCAGATCACACCCGTTTTCCCGAGCGCTGCTCAGTGGCCGCAGGCCGCCTGCCCTGGTGAAGCCTTGGAATTCCTTTTCAACCTGTCTCTCTTCTCACAGTCAACCTCCCTCCCACTCGAGGACCAACGCCACTCTCCTGAACCTGAACCTGGCGCAGGCTGAGCGAGGCGGGGGGGGGGGCCCTCCGGAAGCCCGGCCGTGGGCCGGGCAAAGGGGGGGGCGCCCCCAGGAGCCCAGGTCCTTACCTCGCTGACATTCTTCTCCACCTCCTGCCCCCTCCTCCTCCACAGCCCTGGAGTAGCAGCGTGGCCCTGGCATCGTCCCTGGGAGAAGAGTTCTCTAGCCATCCTCCTGTCTCCGCCCCTGAGCGGAGGACCCTCACTTCCAAGGAGGCCGCTGGACCAGACCGAGGTCCCACTGTTTTGCTTCCTGCCACCCTAGAGTTAGAGCCCTACTCGGGGACCCTACTCCTCCACTGAGCTGTGGGTGAGCCACAGAGGCCATAAATGTCCCGGTTAACACATGCACGTGTCAGCTTCTCCTTCCAGCACCGCCAGCCCTGTCACCTCCGGGAGCCACACTAGACCCCTCCCTTCCCAAGATTATTCTCACCCCTGTGTGTGCATGCACAGGGATGTCCAGTTCTCAGTGCTTGATGTTCGGGCCTCAGGGCTGTCCTGCATTTTCCCACATTATAACTAAATTTCCAGTTTCCCAGTGGGCCAAAGACCGCCCTTCCCTGGGGCACCAAAGCTGTGGGACACTGCCCCTCCTGTCTACATGCACCCTCTCATCACTGAGGCCCGCAAGCATGGCTACTCATGCATAGGACAGAGGAAGGCCAGCTTTCTCAATAAGATTTCCAGCACCTTCTGCCCCTCACCTGTTTAACCAGAGATGTCCCTTTATGTCCCTGAGATGTCTCCCCCACCACCCTGTCTCTCTCTCAAACATCATCTACAGAATCCTAAAAATATCTCCCTTCTCTAGCTACAAAAAATACCTTGTGAATGAATGATCACAAAGGGGGCCGGGGTAGGGGGAAAAGGGTGGTCAGCTGGGAATGGGAGAATGTGTCATCTAAGTCTCCCTAGCAGAGTCTGAGCCTCAAGTCTTACCCATTCCAGATGCCCCTCTAGAGAGAGACTCTTGATGTTGGTCAGAAGTGATGATGGCAGACACCAGGTTTGGGGTAGAGAGTTCAGGCAGGGAAGGAAAGACCCACCAGAGAGATTGCCCAGAGATTTTCAAGAAAATTTTCTCTTCCTGGAGAAATGAGTTAGTGGGGTGGGTAGTGAAGACCACCCAGAATGACAGATAAAATATTTCTGCTATAATCCTACATTTGCCATGATTCACTACATCCTCAACTTGCCCATTGTAATAAAAGCAGTAGACTTGAAGTAGACTACAATTTTCCAAACAATTATATTAGCTTCAGAGCTCTTTCTTTAAATGCAAACAAATGTGGTTGGTCAACATGTCTTTAAAATAGCAATATAGTAAAAGTAAATACCATTTCAAAAGCTATATCCCCTCTCCCCCCAAATTTCTACACACTTAAAATAATCCCTTATTTAAATAATACTTGAATTACAGAAGCCATTAAAATGCAAACTATCAAAGAGTATCAAATGACAGTGAGAACGCTCTATGAAGAAGCCTGTGGGAAATGGCCAAAGTCTCACTTGCATGGGAAACAATAACCTTAAATACTTAAATTATTTGATAATACCCAAAGAGCTTACAATGAGCAAAATAAGCTCCTTCTAAAGAAATGAGTAAAGCCCATAAAACAAACCAAAGAGGGGAAAAGGCAAGGAATTAAGAAAGAGGAAGACAGAAATGAAAGCAATATTAAACAAAATTAATCAATAAAACCTAAAACTGGTATTTGGGAAAATTAATGTGATAGACAAGGATGATGAGAGACAAATGAAACTGATATATAGTAGAGATAAGAAACTGATATATAGTAGAGATAAGAAACTAGTCTGGTTGAAGCACAGTCTGACTGTGTCAGATGCTTAAACACAAATTAAGCATTTTGGAAAAGAGGTGTGGCTAGCCCCCACCACCACCACTCCCCTCCCTCTTCCAAGTTGGCAGGTGCTGCCTTCCCCATGTCAGGTACTCGCTTTCCCAGCCTGCTTTGAGGTTATATGTAGTCACATGTCCTGGCCAATGAAGGATGGCAAGCAAAAAAAATCTGTCCACTGAGTCCACCCTACCTGAGCTGGCATCTCAAAACAGGAATAGTGCCCCTATCCTTGCCCACCCCCAGCAAGTTCACCAGAGTCAGCAATATATATAGGACTATAGCCTCGGTATCAGGACTTCTCTTCAGTGGCTAGAAAGGGAGGTTGTTCTTAAAAGATAATTGAGAGATGGGAATACATAAGAGTAGCTTACATGGGTAAAAATTTTATTCCTTCACGGTAAAAACACCCAGATGCTGAGTGTTCAGAGCTGGAGTGGTGACTCTAGAGAGACTGGGAGATCCAGGAGTCTTTCTATCTGCTCCATCATTCTTACCTTAGGGTCCCATACTCTCAAATTACCTCATGACCCAAGATGGCTGCTGGAGCTGCAGCTGCCTCATCTTCCAGGCTTCAGAGAGAAAGAATGGAATATAAAGCAAAACCAGCCCCAAACCGGTACATGGATAGTGCCGTTTTTAAGGATCTTTCCCCCAAAGCCCCTGCCTAAAACTTCCACTTAAATTTGATTGGCCAACTCTTTTTTAAAAAGATTTATTTATTTATGCATACAGAACTGGGGTATAGACCAGAGGTGCAGGGGCCATGAGAGAATTCACCAGAGAGAGTGGGGATGAGAACAAGCAGACTGACCAAGTACCCTGCTGAGGGGAGCAGTGGGCCAGACAGGAGAGGTCTGCCACACCATGTGGATCACCTCCAGGGCCAGGGATCAAAGTTGCACTGAAGTGGCTGTGGCTAGTTTGCAGTGCTGCGTCCTAACCCATTGCACCACCAGGGAGGGCCTGATTGGCCAACTCTTAGTCACAAGGTCACTGTAGTTACAAGGGAGGCTGGGAAATGTAGTCATTTTCCTGTGTACTTGCTGCTTCCAATAATATCAGGGTCCTGATAGCAAGAAGAGCAGGAAGAATGAATGCCCGGTGGCCAACCGGCAGGCTCTGCCATGCCAGATCTTGGAACGCCTGCCTCCCAAACTGGACAAAGGGCCTTTTTCACCTAAGCTCAAAGGGTGAGCACTACAGCCTAAGCAGAAAGACTTGGGAAAGCCTAGGGTTGTGTTCATCTGGCACTTGCTTTGTGCAATACAGAATTAGGCCAGCAGGCAGAGCAGAAGAAGGGAGGCAACTCAGATTTCTAGGTCAAGTCAGATCCTATGTCCTGAGGGTATGAAGGCTCAGATGTCCCCAGGACCAGTCTCCTGTCCCTCCAGGGCATCCCTAGGCTCCCCAGAAGCCTCCAGCACGGTCCCTCCCCCTTCTTTAAACAGTCCAGGAAAGATCAACAATTACAACCCCTAGTAACAATAGCACTGATAACGTTGACATGGAGAGTCCTTGGCATGGATTATCTCAGCAAAGTCCTGCACCAGCCCGTGGGAGCAGTGACTGCCAGTTTCCCCATGTTACAGGCAGAGAAACAGTGAGCTGAAAAGCTTCTCTGGGCCCCAGAGTTCACACCCACGGCTGCCAGCAAGTCCCCTTCATTCTGCCACAGGGCTGAGTGCTCCTCTCCAGGGATGGTTGAAAGGTTGACTGAGTCGATATAAGAAAAGAATGTAATGCTTAAGTGCTTGATAAGTGTTCTGTTCTTCCCACAAAAGTGTTCATTTTGGCAACAGGCAGATGGAGAGGCCAAAAATAACCTTTTTTTGCAAGGCCTTCTTCCTGGACTCACCCTGCTCCACAGGTGTGCCTTGAACTTGTCAGCACTGGAAATGGGTTCCAAAAGAAAATAATAAGTGTGCGAGAGCTTTTCAGATCTTGATATTGATCACCATAGTTTCGGGGTTCTCCACACTGACCCCCAGATTTGCTCCTCACAGCCTCCCTTTGAGTTCAGGCCGCCTCGTCACAACACACTCCCCAGGCTCCTGATAATCTATGTCACCTGGAGCTGAGATTTTTAAATAAACAACTTGGAAGCTTTTTGTCACTTGGGAAGTCAGGGGACCAGATGCAGGGCCTATTTCACAGAAAAAGGGAAAGTGAGGCCCAAAGTTCTGGCAACTTGCCCATAGTTAGTCAGCCAGGAAGAGACAGGATCAGAAATTGACCCAGAGAGGCACAGGAAGAAGTTTAGGATCACACAGCACAGAGGACTGAGGCTGAGACTAGGGCCCTGCTCTGCCCCAGAAGTTTGATCAAGTTGTCCCACCTCCCTCACAAAGCCACAGACCCCACATTGTGCTTGGGACACCTGGATTCCAATAGACCTGGGGGCGTCTACCAGACAGGGCCTTCAGAGCAGGCCCTGCCTCTCTCTGGACCAGTTCCTCTTTCTCTCCTCAAATGCCTTTTTTCAAGTAGCCTCTCAGGCAGTGGGGAGGGCAGGGGGTGAGTGAATGACCTTGAGGCCAGAACATACAATGGCCCAGTCACAGTCTGGAACCCTGCCAGGGAAAGGAAGGAAACCTGCCCTGTTTTTCTCCCCTGGCTGGAATGTTGATTCAGGATGGAGAGACTGGAGGAGAGGGGAGAAGTGGGGGTGAAGAAGAAAAGGAAGAGAGGGAAGGGGGGGGGACCTGACACCAGGGTGTCACGGTCAGACTTTGGGAAGCAAGCAGGGAGCCTTTCAGCTCCAGCCCCTCCTGACTCATACGGCAGAGTCCAGAGAAGGCATCCTGGCCCCCTGAGGTTGCACAGCACCAGGACAGCCTAAGAGCCTCAACTGTGTCACTAAGTACAAGCTGGAAGAGCTCTCTGGGTCCCCATCATGATCTTTAGAAGTGGGTGTCAGCCCACCCATTCCTCAGAAGAGGAAATGGCGGCCCCAGAGGTAAAGTCACATTTCTGGAATCATCTTCCCCTGGGATTATAGTCTATAGCCCTCTCTCTGGCCTCCCAGCTATTGTTGAAAAACAAACCAGGTAATTTCTGCCTCAGAGCCTTTGCACTGATCTTTCCTCCTGGAGGAATGAGGACTGTTCTTCTCCCTGATCCCTGACTCACCCCATTCAAGTGTCTTTTCAAATGTTGCCTCCTCTGAACACTCAGTGCTGTCTAACTTGCTCTTCATTTTGTATTAAATATTTCTTTCTTCACTTGTCTGTGATCTCTCTTCTCTGCCAGTGAGCTGAATTCTATCTCTTTTGTTCACCAAAGTTGTGTTTAATCTCTTAAAACAGTGCTTGGCACATAATAGGTGTTCAATAAATAGTAGCAATAATGATATGATAAGAAGACTCATCTCACCAGATAGATATTCTGTAGAGCTATTGTATTAGTTATCTACTATGTAACAAATTACCCCAAAACTCAAGAAATGAATCTGAAAGTGGCTTAGCTGGACAATCCCTGGTTCAGGG